TACAGTGGGCTAGATCCTGCAAACATATGAGCAACGTTACATGGCTGAGTTCAACAGAAACATACAAGTGAGTAATTTTATTCAGATGGGTAGAAGTGTGTCAATTTCCTGGCTTCCTTTATGAATTCAGTGGCAAAACTATGTTAGTGTAGAGTTGAGGAGGTTGGTGGTATGTCATTTCCTTGCAGAAAGCTGAGTTGAGCTAAATTCAAACTTCTGAAAACTAAGAAACTCAGAGTTAAGGCTGCATCAGAGTTAAGGTTGCCCATGCATGGGCAACCTTAACTCTGCCTTCTTTCAGCAGTGCCCCAATATGCCCCATTAACACAAAAACCTTTACTCTGCCAGCCTCACTATTGCTGAAATGTACAAGCTCTTCACCTCTTTTTACAGCCCATTCATGCTCACCCACAGAATGCCATCTAACACTATTAAAGGACAAAAGGAAAAGAAAATGGTTGGCAGAGTAAAAGGTACGTATGTTAAAAGGGTCTATTGGGGCACTGCTGAAAGGGGCAAAGTTAAAACTGCATGGGCAGCCTTAACTGCTTATTTCCTGCTTTTCAGAAGTGTGAGTTTTGCTCAGCTCAACATTCAGCAATGGGATGACACACACACACACCAACCAACCTCAACTCTGCGGTAATGTAATTTTTTGCCATTGAATTTCCTAGGGTTATTTTTAAACAGGAGAAAGATATGTTGTTGGTAGGAATTAATAAATAGTCATTTAGGTAGCTGTACATATCATGCCCTGCAATTTGCATACCGAGACAGTCAGCTGGGGCCCCACCAACCCTACTTTGACACACCTCTGCAGCCACACCCTGACCCATTCACTGCATTACCCTGTCAATCTGTGCCCCTCCCACTTCTGTACCCAGCCCCCCCTCCAACCACAAGCAGGGAATGCATCTCTCTGCAGTTTCCACTCCTTAGTATACAAGTGTTTCTATTGCCATTACTTTCCTCTCAACCCCACCTATAACCCAACTCACATGCAGAGGCTACAGTGGGTGGTACTTCTGATCATGTTTCAGAATGGGTTGGAGGGTGAAGTTTGTGGCAGGGCCAGCGAGAGAAATGACACACGAGTTCGGTTGGAAAATACTGACAGTTTTACATTTGAGAGAAAGATCCTCTGACCCAATCCAATGGACATACCCTATCTCTGAGAAAGTGTGGGGGAGGTCAGAGCTTGTAATGTTTCTATGCCGTACAGTCCACATTGTCTGGTCAGCCATGACCCCTCTGATTTCCCAGTTAATATTCTTCCAATGCTTATTAATAGCTTTCCTATTGTCACTGTAGCAATTATTCAGATACTCAGCCTAATCAGTGAAAACGATCACAGCTCCTAACCACAGCTCTCTGATGTGTGAAAACAGATTTGAACCCCATTGTATGAGGTTTACACTAGGATTAAGGCCCAGATCATTTCCGTCCTGTGAATCACCATAACGTCCAGTAGATGACAACCTCATAAGTCACTGATGGGGGAAACATGATGCCAATGCAGACCACCTCTCTTCCAAATTAGCCTGTTATTAACAATCTCCATATCATGGCATATTCTTTGCTCTCTCGCAAACTTCTGCAACCTCATGAGCCAGGAATTACCTAGAATCTACATAATGGCAATTTGGTCAGTGCACGAATTTCTTTTTCCTCAGTTGTCAAGGTACCTGCATTGTCAGTTCCAAACCTCCATGCTATGCGTCTTTGGAAACCACCAAGTTTTATCTGCTCAGAGATCTGGAAGCAGCCACTTCCCCAGGGTTACTAAAAATACAGATTTTCTCAAACATCCAATCCTAGACTAGCCTACCACCCATTCTCATTTCCCACCCCTACCATAGCCACAACCCCTCTCCCACCCCCCCAACTCCCCACACACCAATATAACAGACGTTTTGGTTCGACTGGCTGCTAGCTATTCCGCTTTGTTCACAATAAACCTCCCTATAAAATAAAAACGTTATAATAGAACGACAACTTGTAGCAAGCAACATGAATTATTAAATCTTTATTGCATGGGAGTACAAAGATTAAGACTAGAAAGGTCAGTGGCAAGGTGTTCGCCAGGGACAATGTTGCCAGCAAATTCCCTCGAACAATCCAGGCAAACAAAGTGGCTGCAAAAAAGCCTTCATTTTTTTTTCCCATTTTTTTTTCCCATTGGTTCGTGTGCAATGTAATACTTCCAGACTGCTGTCTACACAAGCAAAGAAGTGAACATGTTCTTAAACACCGTTCCCAATTTCAGTCCCCCAAAGATTCAGTGGGTGCCGTGCACTACCTTGGGTAAAACTTGAAAAATTGAGACCTTTTTGACCCACGTAACAATAGTTTGATCTCCAGCTCTGTGCAAGAACCCACCTAGAAACTATTTTAAAAATGGATATTTTTGGGGGGGGGGGGGGCTTATATTTCTGCAACTCCTAGCTCAAATGAGCCCAATTTTGGGTCACTAACCCTGCACTGCCCCCTCCTAAAGCAAACCATATTTCAAAGGAATTCAACTAAGCATGTTGATTTTAGAGGACTTAGAAAGGTCAATCTTTAAACATAAGTTGTGATGCAACCTCTACTATCTTGGTGCTACCATTCGACTATTATTTGGGGCCCCAATCCTGTGAAGTGAATTTTGGTGTGACGTTTTCAATTTCATATCAAAATGCTGACTTTTTAATTTGCAGCAACTTCTTGACATTATTAGTTTGTTCTGTGTTTATACAGCGTCTAGCACAACAGGGTCCTGGTCCATGACTGTGGCTCGTAAGTGCTATAAGAATACTGCTACTATTAATAGTCACCCACGGATATGTTGGAGCCACTGAGTCTGTTTCCTTGCTTTGACTTTGCTCTGAGGACCAGCAGATGACAGGAATGCACCTGAGCAAAGTGCTCAGCTAGGGTTGGGAATATTATGACAGAGGAGTAAGGAGGATAGCTGTAACATTGTTTATTTCTCAACCACAGTCTTCGGGCAAAAGAGGGGCGTCAGCATTCAGCTAATCTACATATAAATATCAGGCTCCAAGATGTGTGTGAGGGTCAGTTAATTATCTTGTTCATAAGTTAATCAAACTGTTTTTGCCATTTAGAGTTCTATTTTCCTGAACAGAATGAGCATTTTGCAAAAGTGGCACCGGACTCCTTGTTGTTTTGTGGATACAGACTAACACGGCTACCCCCTGATACTTGACATTTTGCAAAAGGTTTGGTAAAGACTCATTTGCTTTTCCCAAATGGGAGCGCACACACCAGTTTACAGGGATCACTCAAGAATACCTTTTACATGAAATATTATCATCAAGGGAAATGAATATTCCTCTAACAAATATGGGCTTAACTCAGAAGAATGAAATGCTTTCAAATGTAAGTTCTGCTGACCTACCCTCCCCACTATCTCACACAAAAAATTCTACTTGTGTTTATTCAACTACATAATTGAGTTCAGAAAGACATTTAATGCCTGCAACAGTCAGGAAATGAGATTTGTGAAATCAACAGTGAGACTCAGCTAGGTCGGAGGAAAAGCTGTAAAGTCCAACTGAGCCAAAGCATCCCACAAAAAATAGACAAGGGAGTTCAGCCATATACAGATATTACTAAGTACAACCCTGTTAGGATTTTGTTTTAGCAGCCATTAGAAAGATCCTGTTAAACAAGACATAGGCCTAATTTGCCCTCCCACAATAACCTAGTATTCTTCAATCAGCAAATCCACTCATAAGTGCTCTGAAACAGGAAGAAAACAAGTTAATGGTAACTTCAATGTTTAAAACAGCTAAACCTATTTTGACCTGGCTGATTTCAACATGTGAAACGTTTAAAAAAAAAAAAAAAAAAAAGCCATCCTTATGATGCTGAGCTCACTACCTCAAATATGAAGGAGATATTTTAACCAAAGAACATGTAGCTAAGTGGCTAATAGCCAAACAGAATTTATAATTGCTCATTTAGCTAAAAAATAAATCCCAGTTTTCCTTGTGCACAACAGAAATATTAAATTAAGAGGACAAAATGACCAGTTAATGTATACCAAGATATACAGACATGCTAGGTTACACATAAATATTGTATTTGTTTCTATAAAGAAAAGGAGATGAAAAAATTTACATTTTAGTTTTCTTCATAAACAGGCCACATATTAAAATTAATTTGTATGGGACAGTGTTTAGGTCTGCACAAATAAACATGCAGAAATAACTTCAGTGCTTAGTATTTTCAGACATGTCCTATATAGAAAGTAACGGCAATCCCCTTTTCCTAACTTGGCTAGTCACAAGCATGGACGCTCTGTCTTTCAAGTGTTATAGCTCACTTGCATATTCAGGGTAAATTATGCAATACACTGAACTTTGGGATACCATAACATGAAAAAGGGGAGTGTGCTGCTGTATGTATCTCATATACTAAACACCTTTTCTATTTCTCCACATCCACTTTGACTGGACTCTGATCTTAAAACCACCAACTCCTCCCAGCGTTTTGCCAGCTTGCTTTTATCAGCACGGCAGTTAACTCTGTGCCTGTTGCTGTCTCTGAAAGCCTTCATACTTGCAGAAGGTCCTGTAGGAAATATATTACCAGCAGATAAGCATCTGAAGGCCTGTCCCATTAGCATGGCCACACCTCACCGTGTGCATTTCAGATATGCAACAGAACTTTAGTTGGTCTCTCCATCTTCATGGTACTTTGACAAAGGTTGTGAAAAGACAAACAACAATGACAATGTACTTATACAGCCTCCCATCCCAGTACTAACTGAAACTTTCCTTCGATTCTGAACATCCAGCTGTTCACAACAGAATTTTCTGTCTGCTGACTCTTTTCTTCCCCACTAGAGTTCAGGGGATTCACAATAGCAAAAAGAGTATTTATAGGCCACAATTATTTTTGTTTCCAGAGTCAGCTTTTTAAAACCTGGCTTTAGTGGCTAACTTCAAAGCAAGGCTCCCAGTACAAAGTACTCAGTCCTATCACATACATACCAATTCCTTTAATAAGGTGGCAGTTGGGAAGTTCCACTGGTTCCAGCTCTCTGGAGCTATTCAGTTTACGTCTGCAAGAGGAAATACAGTTTAGTGTAACAGATCAAAAAAGAGAGTTTTACAAACGGAAACAGTGTTGACTGATATATGCTGGCTAGCATATACATAGATATCATAATAATATATATTAACTGCACCAAATACACAAGTATGCATTAAGTACAAATATTGTAACAGTGATATGGCTTAAACGGATCTATACCATAATCCTTTTCACTTATGCTAAGTATCCCATAACACCTTACACTTATTGAAGCAAGCAAGCATTTAGCACAAGGAGATAGAATGAATGCATCTTGATTTTGACAAGTTTCCTAAGTCTTAGTACAAGCTAGGGAGGTACCTTCACGGACAAGTACCTGGAACGTGAGTATCTAAAACAAAGATAAGGAAGGAACATGGGAACTGGGACAAACTGATGGTTTGGGTTTTAGTGACGTATAAAGAGATGTGCAACTTGTAAAATCATACAAATAATACCAGCTGAAATGTGTACCTTGGGGAGCACACTTTCTGCATAAGGTGAATGTAACATCGCTGCAGGAGACTGCTCTTTGGAGACTGGTATCGTACAGAACTTTTTTCCTGTACCATATTAATAAACCTGACTGACATTGGTTACATGGTCTCTTGAATATATTTCGTCAATTTAATAAAGAAATTGATATGTACCAGGTTTGTTATCCCATCCACGAAGACACTGGTACCGTGCCAATAGCGGCTTTATGCTATTTGGGGACGTGGTTTAACTTGGCTGACAGAGAATCAGGGTGTTAGCAGCAGGACTCAAAATTGCTCGTGGGTGGACACAGACATGATAAAATAAGGCAAGTGTTACCAGCAAAACTTTGTAGTGTAGGCCTGGCTTTGGTATGTAGCTAGGTACTGGGAGCTGTATAGGGTACGATAATACCCTACGATCTATTTTCACATTGTCCTTCTGCTCAAGAAAACTGTTGCAAATGGCTAGTGAATCTGGGCCATTTCTTTGCTGCATTACCTTTTCCTTCAGCCATAGTCCCACAATGACTCACCGAGAATGACCGCTATGGTCACAATTCTAAAATCAGCTGTTCAGGGGTCACAGTGACCAGAAGCCTGACCTCCTTTAAAATACCTGCTGTGTTCTTCCTACTAGCTTACCTTTATAAGCATAGGGGTCTGGCTCCATGTAAAGCTACAGGTAAGCTTTGCACTGCTGCCTTATCTAGAAAAGAAGGCCTAGATTTCCTTGGCCTGTGGGGAGGTGTGGTGCAAGCCCAGCTGTGAATAACCGCAGGAATATAGGTCTACTCGGTCATTACAGAGAACCTGCTGAAGCTGGGGTAGAAAAAAGGTGATGAGCAGAAATGCCAGGCCATGGGGAAGGGAGGCCAACAGAAGATCTGCGGCTACCCCCGAATACTTGCTGCTTCTATGCAATTCTGGCAGGGACCCCACCAGCAATCTGTAGGTAAGAGTGGACACCTCATGAGACCCAGAGGAAGGAGCCCCAGCAGTGCAGCAATGACAAGAGTGTTGAGAAGAGAGATGAGGAGGATATAGACCCCGCCAGGAGCTCTTCATGAGACTAATGGACCCCACCCAGACACAGAATCCATTGAGGACGGGTAAGGGAGCTATATTAAAGCATAATTCTCTCTTTACTTTCTTCGTGGGCCCCAAATCACCTCCACTCCCTTTCAAAAATGGCAGCCGAATGTGCACAGTCAGAGAATAAAAGAATTCCCTTTTGAAGTAGCCAGAGCCAATTTATTTTAAAAATGTGCCAACAGCAAAATAAGAAACGATCACAGCCATTTAGTAGCCAGCAGCTTTTGGTAGCAAGATAGAATATCTATCGCCATAAATCCATTAAATGCAAACCTAAACAAATATATTCTGAATGCGATTCCAGAGCATTAGAAAATGTCAAAAACCTTGCAAGCACTCCAGTAATTAGTCAGGCAGCCTATGGTAGAACCTCCGAGTTACAGACTTTGGGAATGGCGGTTGTTCGTAACTCTGAAATGTTTGTAACTCAACAAAACGTTTTGGTTGTTCTTTCAAAAGCTTACAATGGAACATTGACTTAATACAGCTTTGAAACTTTACTATGCAGAAGAAAAATGCTGCTTTTTACCATCTTAATTTTACATGAAATAAGCACAGAAATGGTTTCCTTACCTTATCAAATCTTTTTTTTTAAAAAAAGCTCTCTTTTCCCCCCCCAGTAGTTTGCATTTAACACAGTACTGTATGTGTGTGTGTGTGTGTGTGTGTGTGTGTGTGTGTGTTGCTGCTGCCTGATTGTGTACTTCTGGTTCCAAAGAGGTCTGTGGTTCACTGGTCAGTTCATAACTCTGGTGTTCGTAACTCAGATTCTACTGTACATGATTTTTATGTAAACATTGCAAGTGGCAGTGCTTTGGTTTTCCAGTCCGAGAGTCTTTGTTCAAAACGTGTATGCTGTGCTTGGATTCAGGGATAGGAAGTGGTAGAGATGGTGCTGATGGCTCAGGGAGGGTGACTTTGCTTTGGCTTGCAGAGGTAGGCGATGGCAAGAACCTTCTCCTCTCATGAGGGGTTTGGATGATGCGGGCCTTGTGGGGTTTGGATGATACCTTGCGTCTCTGGCACAATCTCGCCAGGTATTTTCGAGCAGATGCTCTTTACTCGTTTCCTGGCCATTTCTAGGAAGTGTGGTCTTGTTCTTTCTGTCACACTAGGACACCTTCTGTGAACCACCACCAACTGGCAGCATATGGGCTAGGGCGACTTCAAGCCTCCTTGAGCAGCTGTCTACCCTGGGGGCCCTTGTCAGCCTTAGGAGTGATATCACCCATGATCACTACTGCTGTAATAAAGTTAACAATATTTACTGCACTATACCTACACTTATTGCCCAGGACACCCAACAGTCCTTGCGCCCCCAGCGACAGGCTTTGAACAGCACTCTTATGCACTCACTATGCTGGGAGCTGCTGAGCAGTCCTGAACCAAACCTGACCCTCTGCATATTTTTATGTAAATCTTTGTCTCAAAACTCCCTACACTTTTTCACATTGCTTTTCCTTTCTGTTTTGTCTTTAAATAACAAGACAGACATTATTAGCTTTTTCAGCAGCCTTGGCTTGGGCATCCTTGAGAGGCGCAGCCTCCACTCCTGCTGAAAGACTGACCTTGACCAGGAAGGAAAAAAAGGACCAGGGAGGACATGTTTTCTGAGTTCCTCCATTGCTCAGAGCCCCATGCATGAGAGACTAGAGATTCAAGTAAATCCCTGGATTCCCTCTATGCTGGAGGAAGGACCTAGAGGTGCATTGAGCAGAAGGACCAAGAGATGCATCAAGATGTGCAAAGACATCATGCAGCTCTACACGCAGACGCAGGTCTTACAAAACTTAATGGAGCAAAATGCCCAAAGACTTCCACCCCAGCAGCCATTGCACTGCATGGACAATTCTATGTTCCAGGGACTATCCATCCCCTACCCTCTCAAGGCACCAGCATCGCCTGCAGCAATACCGGTCCATATCGCTCAATGCCAGTGACAATTAAGAACTGCTCAGTAAAATTGAGTTTTGTGAAAGTCATGCTTTATTTACTGTTTTTTACAAAGCAAAACATGTGACTGCCCAAGTCAGCACCACTATTTCCAGACTCATAGCAAGTGTTTACATATCATTTAACATTCATACACAAGCATAGAGTGATAGATGTGGCAATTTCCTGGAATATCCTTGAAAAACCTTATTAAGTTTAAGTGTCTTTGGAATCTGTTGTATTAAATGCAAAGATTATGTATTATTGTGGGCTGGGATTGCATGTCATCTCTCTGGGGGTAGATGGGAGGTGAACTCTAGTAAACGTTATGAACTTTAGAAGGACTGTACTGAACAATGGGCCAGACAAGAATGAATTTTTGGAACAGTGTCAAGTGTTTGTCTGGGAAAACTCTAGAGGGAGGTGAATACAAATTCCCCACTTCCAGTTATGCAAAAACCCAATCTTTTGAAGCTATGCCCTGAGGAAAGGTCCCTGAGAATCACTGTTGGCATTTCACCCCCACCAACATGTATGCGCTGGTCTGAGACAAGTGTCCCTGATTGTGACTTTCAAACAAAGTCCAGTATTTTTGAAGATGTGAGCGTCATGCTCCTTCCCTGATCAGTTAATGCTAATTTCCTTGAAGCTCAGGTGGCAAACTTCATGTGCCAGGCCATGTCAACACTAAAGTGTTGCCAGCATTTTTTCTAGTATACAGCTGTTGACATTAGCTGTTGCTAGAACATGTGAAAGCTTCGATGCCTTTGCTGATGCCATGTACCCTCCCTGCAAGAGATTGCATCAGCAAAACCCACAGTGCAGGAAGGATAGGCATCCACCAATGAAATGTCCACCCGTGATCCACCAACGCTTGCATAAACATAGAAAAGTATCCCTTTCTGTTTATGTACTCAGAAGCAAGCTGGTGGGAGGCGCAGAATCAGGAAGTGTGTCCCATATATTGCCCCCTCTCCCCTGTTTGGGAAGCCCATGCCATCAAATTCCTCTGTTATTTCTTGCACATTGCCCAGAGTCACAATCCTGTACAGCAGGATATACTTAATAGATTTTCATATCTGGATAACAATGGACTTCCCCCCACCCCATACCATAGATCAGGGGTCAGCAACCTTTCAGAAGTAGTCTTCATTTGTTCACTCTGATTTAAGGTTTCGCGCGCCAGTAATACATTTCAAACCTTCTAAAAATGTTCTTTCTATAAGTCTAGAATATATAACTAAACTATTGTTGTATGTAAAGTAAATAAGGTTTTTAAAATGTTTAAGAAGCTTCATTTAAAATTAAATTAAAATGCAGAGCCCCCCGGACCAGTGGCCAGGACCCAGGCAGTGTGAGTGCCACTGAAAATCAGCTTGCGTGCCGCCTTTGGCACATGTGCCATAGGTTGCCTACTCCTGCCATAGATTTTCCAACACCAAGGTGATTGACTACTGACTAATAGCAGCCCAGAATTGCAAGCCTCCAGAGCACAATCACCACTCATGTCTCCATTGTCAATGCAACACCCGTTCTGGTGTCCCTGAGCTGGAGGACTGGGGAAGCGTGGCACTCACCTCCAGGAACATGACTTTCTAAGTCCAAAAGTGCTCTGGCCACTGCTGATCATCCAGATTTACATCATTATCCAATCCCATCACTTGGTTCTCATTTCACAGGTACAGATGCACTTCTCCACTGTTTGTAACTGGTCAGTGAATGCCTGAAGCAACTGGGGACTGTCATTCTCATTTTTGCTGCTGTAGGACTACTAGTGGTGGTAGTTGAAGTTCAGAATACAGAAGAATTACTCACTCAGTCTCTAAAACAATGAAAACTCCACTGATCTCTTCAGCATCTATGCTTCTCCCAGCGAGATAGCAGAGAAATTGAAAAGCAATGAGAAGACTGGAGGGTATTTTAATAACAGTGTGAAAAAAGATTATGTGATGGAACAAAGAGAATTGTGGAAACTTGACCCCAAGTTGCCATAATTCCCTGAGAATGCTGTTATCCCACAATGCACTGCAAAAACATCCCACAAGAAAATGAGACAAACGGTGGTGTGGTGGATGCCTATCCTTCCTGCACTGTGGGTTTTGCTGATGCAATCTCTTGCAGCAAGGATACATGGTATCAGCAAAGGCAGCAAAGCTTTCACATGTTCTAGCAACATTAATGTCAACAGCTGTATGCTAGAAAAAATGCTGGCAAAACTTTAGTGTTGACATGGCCTGGCACATGAAGTTTGTCACCTGGGCTTCAAGGATATTATCATTTCTACCAATGTCTCAAAATTTACAACTGAGAAACTGATCCTCATCTCTTTAGGAAATTCACTTGGAAACGTCTCAAAAAAAATAACTTTAGTACACACTCCCAGCCAACCCCTACCCCACCACTGCAACACAAAAATGCAACATTGAATGTCCTCATGTGACTATCACAGTGTTTCTCCTGGTTTTAAAGAGTTTCTTGCTTGAGACCTATTTCTTCTACATCTGAGGAATACAAAAATGGTTTAAACACAACAACAAATTTTCAAAGCAATAGAAGCTTTTGAAGTACACTCTTTGCATCAAGTGTTCAGGAGAAAGTTAGCATCTGCCAGAAGTCAATGGAAGCTTTATCATTTATTTCTGTGGACATTGGATCAGGACCTTATTTATTATTATGAATTTTTAAAACTAAAGCATAAGAACAAGAGGAAAATAAGTAGAGTTTGCCTTTAACAATCACACATCTGAAAATACAGCAGTTCAGCTCCATCAAGAATTGTTCTTTTAAGGAGTGGAGGCAAAAGTCCATGAATAGTGTGAACTCTTACTATGTTCAGACCCCACAGCAGAGATAGGATGTGAATAAGCTGCCTGCATTGCTGTAGTTTGTAATTTAATACAAAATTAATCACTTTTCACCTCCAGGAATTAGAAATTATGTTAAATGTGTTTGAAAAAAAAAGAAACACTGAAGGACCCTTTTCAGTATTATATCACCAGACCACAATGTGCCAGAACTCAAGGGATTAATGTGAACAGCAGCAAAGCTATAGAGAACTTCTTAATTTTCATTTTCTTTTGGAGTGGGAGATGGGTGTGGAGAGATATCAAGAAAAAAAAAAAAAACACTTTCCAATCTCCTCCTTCCAGTACATATTAGAGGAAGCTAGACAGCAGTCTCAACTCTTATCTGAAGTTGTACATTTCCAGTCACCAGTACTGCTGTATTAGCAAGGTTGCAATATAGCAGGCTTATAATGCAGCACATACACACACCAGAAAAAAAAAAGTCATAAAAATACAATAAAAACAGAATATTCACAAAGTGCTTTTAGTTTGATCTGTTTCTAGCATAGAACTTTATTTTACCAGTTTTCAATATTATTTCAATCCTGTTTATTCAGCTTTCGACAGGGGCCTGCTAGTTACCATGATCTGAAACAGCTCACCCAAAAAATAAACCGGGAATGCTAGAACTTTATCAAGATCCCTATATTGTGAGACAGAACAGTAGCAGTTTTTTGTTGCCAATAAATTTCCCAATTAGTGCTCAGACTAGTGGTAGGACCAGCACTGAACTGAATTTAGTTCAAAACACAATACTTCTCTTAATACACTTGTACTGCACTCTATCCTGTACAAAAGTAAGTAGTAAAAAGTTTCTTTGTAATTAGCTACAATGTTAGATCTAAAATTTAAATCATTTATATGTTGTTACTTTGATTTCTTGCAAATATTTTTACATCACTCATTATTACCAGGGCAATGACTCCACTGTCACCTAACGAAGTAATTCTACATTCACTTTTCTAGCCTAAAGCTACATGGTTATGTTTCCAGAGAAGCTATTTCTGTAATATTGTATTACTAGTCTTTGCTAGATGTACTCACTACTTCTAGGGTTTAATAGCTTTGATTCGGTTTAGTATTCATCCCATTACTCAAAACAACTTCTCTGAAAGTTGAAACTGGCGTGTTCCCTTACTGAAAGTATATTGGTTCCAGTTCCAGATAGTACACAAACTGGTTTGCTAGTGGCTGTTTATTCACAAGTTCTGGCTTAAAAAAAAAAGTTATTTATTTTTGCAATCTAAGTTATTTTGCAAAACAAATTTTTTTAAATGATTGATTGGTGAAATTGTATTTACCATCTTGACGGTGTGTCAACATACCCTCAGTCATTATGACCTCTGTTGGAAGAGGAACACGCAAGTAAACAAAGCTATCCCCTTAAGGTTCATACTTCACAGACCCCATTAGCTCGGGTTAGCAAAGGATTGGACATACCCAGCTACGACATCACCCTACTGTATATCTGATTTATCTGGGGCAAATATTTCTGAAGTTAGTTTGAAGCTTGGCTTAGAACGACCAATGCAAAAGCAAACAAAGCAAGTGCTCCGATTGCATCAGGAGGATAACAGGGTAGTTTACATTAACCCCTCCCTCCCTCCGACAAATTCAGTGGCATTTCTGTACGTGCAGGCTCTTGCTAAAGCTGCATGCCATGCTAGGCAACAAGATGAACTGCAATCCCCTGGGAAGACAGACAACCACTTTTTTAAACAGTGATGTAATCTCAGTTGCTCAGCAATCCACGCTCTACAAAGCCAGGCTCTTCCGACCAGCTTTGCGCTCAGCCTGAACCCCGCGGGCAAGCTTTGCCAGGCGATGACGGTATGGGAGGAATGCACAATCGAGCCTTCTCTTCATGGCACTTCTGCTCTGCATGCCCCGTGCAGAAGGACAAGAACTCTGGGCAATAAGGACGTGCGGGACCCAAGAGCTCCCGAGTCCCACTAGACCGGAGTGACTTCTAATTCGATTCCCCACCCGTGGCCGTTCTATTTAAAGCAGCGAACGCTGTGCTGTTGAAACACCCCGTCCCCATTAGGGAAGGAAAGCACCAACTAGACAGACAGACCCAGGACCTCCCCGGGTCTCCCAAGAGCTCGCCAGTCTCTCCAGGGAACCAAGCTCCCGAACGTGCCCCGGCTCGGGCCAGCTCCCCGAGGTGGGGCTGGAACCACTTACCGAAACTCCATTAGCCTCTCCCCGAAGAGGGCGGCAAGTATCCCGGCCAAGGCGAGCACCAGCACTTTCCCCATAGCTCTGCACTGGAGGCTAGTCTATGCCCCTCTCGCAAACCAGGCCGAGCGCGCCCGCCTTTGAGCGAGGGCTCCAGGGCTCCGCCCACTAATTGTCCCCTCCCAGCTGCGAGAGCCTCGGGGCTGCTAATGGGATCAGGCACTCCGCCTCCCGCCACGCGCTCGCCCCGCCACGCCCTGCCCCCCGGGAGCCTGCCCGGGGCTGAGCGCCCTGCCTCCGTGATAGCCCTGAGCTAGGACTGGTAACGGGGAGAGACACAAACTCCCCGAGCAGGAGAGAATGGGCGAGGGGACGCTTCTAGCTCCAGCCTAGCAAACACCAGCCGCAGGAGAAAGACCCTGGGCTAGATTCACACAGGAACTTGGGGCAAGTCTACGCTACAGAATTAATTCGACCTGGGTTACGTCGATATACAGCGACCGCAGTAATTGAATCGGTTTTACAGGTCTACACTATGCTCCTGATGTTGGCGATGCACATCCTCGCCAGGAGTGCTGGCACCCATTTAACTGTCAGTGTGGGGCATTATGGGACAGTTTCTGAAAGGCAGCAGCAGTTGGTGTAAACAACACAATGTCTACACTGACACCACCTCGCCCTAACTACATCGACCTAAGCGCTGCGCCTCTCACAGAGGTGGAGTTATTAAGTCGGTGTAGTGGGCAAGTTACATCGGCAGGAGCTACATTTTAGTGTGGACACTTACAGCATTAGGTTGACGTAAGCTGCTTTATGTCTACCTAATTCTTTAGTGTAGACTGGGGCTTAGGCAGACACCTAGCCTGAGGCACCAGTCCGCAGGCACACAGGCACCTAGGGAACTTCTACTGCAAAAATGTAGGTGCTGGGGAGTTTAGGGCACCTACAGGGTTTGGTGGCATCGGGGGGGGAGGGATTTGTGAATCCCTGATTCTGGAATTTAGACAGCTAAAATGGCAGTTAGGGGGCTAAGTCTTTTGGGGAATCTTAGCCCTGTGTCTCCAGTGATAAGAAATGGCCAAAGATTTCCCATTAAAAAGCAATGAGGGAAAACTACATGTGTCCCCAAGGAAAACAGGCACAACCAGCATTGCTAACCTGCAACGATTCAAAAAGCATCAGCCAGGCCTCCCTCAAATTACAAGATTAGTTTAAAAATCATGAGATTTTAAAATAATAAATATTGGGGTCTTTTTTCTTTTGGTTTCCGCGCCTTTTTGGTTCACTCCATGTTTGCCAGCTTTTCTCTGAAACCATGAGGGCTAGAAATTTACTTTTTTAAAAAAAAATGGAAGCTGAGATTCTCCGGTAAATCTCTTCATTTCAGCATCTATGGCAAATCAGCTGCCAGAGAGCAGATGCATTCCCCTCCACCCCTTTGTACTACCCTTTGATGTCCCACTCTGCATGTGTGTGGGACTCAGACATTTTTATTCTTGGTTCCATACAGAGTTTTTACATGTAGGGAACCTAGGCACACCAAGATCAAGTGGTTTAGCAAAGGTCACTCAGGAAGACTATTGCAGACCTAGGAATTGAACCAAGACCACCTGATTCCCACTCCAGCATTTTAACAGAAAGACTAAGTCCCTTATGTCACTGTGGCAATAACATTTTGTAGGGATGCTCCTTGCAATAGCAACCTCACTATAGAATGGCACCTGCCCAGCTACCCCTCCTTCCAATCACAAGGGAAGAGGTGTTTCTGGTCTGAATGTCTCTTTGTGCTCCATGGCTTTTCTAGAAACAGAGGAGCTTGTCCTTTTGTGGAAAAGCACCAGAAAGCTTCAGAAAGCAGCAGCTCAGACTTGGAGGCTCTGTTCCATATGCATTCTCCCAGGCTGTTTACAAGGGTGTTCAAAACACCATGTAACTATCGAGATTCATCCCTGTGTAAATCCATTGGCCTGAGATTTGCAGCTCCCAAAGCTACACTTCAGAACAAAATAAAAATATGTGAAGTATAGAGAACAGCTATCCTAGGGCAGAGATGCTAAATAGATATTAGAGCTGGACTGTGTTTCTTCTGTCAACATTTAAAATTTTGAAGTTTCACAATATCAACATTTTGCTATTTGAAAATTTTTGACAGGCTTTGTAGTTGGTTGAAAAACTGGGGAGAAATTGTAAATCTATTGTTGAAAAATTTTCCGTTTCCCACCTCAAAATTCAAGATGTTGAGAAAAATTTTCACTAAAATTCAAATCAATTTGACCAGTTTTAATAGACACTATTTTAAAATAGTCCTCATCAGTTGTAAACTGTAGCACCATTAACTTCAACAGAGCTTTGCTAGTTTACACCATCTGAGTTTCTGAACTAATATTTAAATTGATATTGTCCCTTTAAGTTATCTGAACAGGACAAGCCAGTGATGCATTTTGCCAGAAGTGATCCAAAATAAATATACAGGAATTGCACTTGATGTTTTGAACATTTTAACAATAATTTGTGAATGTTTTCCTTTGCTTAGTAAATATTTCCTTAAAATCCTTAAATGTACCTTCATTTTGGATTGTAACATGTCTAGAAGTAACAAACAATCGATAGTCACTCTTAAACTGCCCCAGATGTCAGAATATGTGCAAGGCTACATGTTAGTGACTTCTAGGTGCAAACAGCTGAGACATGAAATTTAGTTTAGTCAGAATCTACCTAAAGATATTTTCTCAGGCCTTCTAATATATGCTGCCTGTTTCATTCCAATTTCCATCAACCTCCCCCCCTTCCCCCTACCACCCCCACAATATGCCTAAAACAAAAAAATATTTTTTATAATTTGGGACTCTTAGCAGGCTTCTGACAACATCTGTTTCCTCACAAGCTGACATAAAAATTAGAGGGCTGGAATTGTATTTGCCGATCTTTGTAATGCATTTTGAAATTCTCAGATGAAAAGCATCAAAAGAACAAAGTGATATCATTATTATTTGATTGTTTTATTTCTGTAATAAAAATCCACACAGAGCTATTAATGAAGCACTGAGCAATAAAGGAACACTGTTGACCCATTTTCCTGTAAAGCTTATATATGTTTTGCCTAACAGAAATGTTTGTTCTACTCTTCTTGACCATATGAATTTTCCACACTAATCTGTATTTTAAAATGGAATATTCCATCAAATGAAGAGCAGATGGTCACCCTAATTAGAAAGGGACATCAGTGATTTTAAAATCCTGTGACAAAGAACACATCACTCCATCAGTGTCCGTGAGGTACAGGGTCACCTACCATATGGCCAGCTTCTTTGAAATTGCTGAGCAACTCAGTTACTAAGTTGCACCTTTGTTCATTCAGTCATGTCTCTAGTGGAGCCTATTTACTCTAACTTCTACAAATGAAGGTGTTTATGCCATGCATTGAAACTACTTTCATAGAGTGCAGAGTCACAGTGTCCATTACAACTCCCACAAAAGTCAATGGAAATTCTCCTATTGACTTAAAAGGGAACAGACTCAGACCAGATAGTAGGAAGAACCTCAAACAAGAAATATTTCTTGCTTACAAATTGCACTGTATTATTTATTTAAATAATTCCGATTGTATCTCTTACTCAAATGAACTCAAATGATTGTCAAACCAGTTTCTGATCTCATTTTCTCCACTGTAAATCCTAAGTAAATCTTCTGACTCCAGTGAATTACTCTGGATTGATGTTCATGTCACAGAGTATAATCTAGCTCTTTTAATGCCTGGATTGGTAGAACCCACTGTGTTTGCCTGTTTGGGCAATGACACATGCTGATGAAGGTTGAAATAGTCTGTTATTAAATCAATAATCTATATGAAATCAATAATCTATATACAATATGTAGCATCCTTCAGAAGTTATTTGATAAAAAGATGAAGACTACAACTAGAATACCGTGCTTCAGAGAAGTGGATGGAAAGGACACATGTTTAAAAAAGAAAATATATAAGACTTGCATAGTCCTTACATCTCTTATTACTAATGTCAATTGAGAATAGATCAGTTCCAAAATTATCTTGATTACTGGAACATTATGCAATACAGCAAAATTACCTTTGCTTCAGATTGTGATCTGAGACATTTTGTTAAGAACATAAGAACAGCCATCTTGGGTCATACTAGCCCAGTATCCTGTCTTCCGACAGTGGCCAATGCCAGGTGACCCAGAGGGAATGACCAGAACAGGTAATCATCAAGTGATCCATTCCTTGTCACCCATTCCCAGCTTCAGGCAAACAGAGGCTGGGGACACCATCCCTGCCCATCCTGGCTAATAGCCATTGATAGACCTATCCTCTATGAATTTATCTAGTTCTTTTTTTAACCTAAAGCTTTTCTTTGATTATATGTAAGTCTGAATGAGGTCTCCCCTGACAGCTAGTGATGCGCTGTGGAAAAAGATTTCAGGAGCAGGCCTTGTTTGCATAGACATGCCTACTCTGCCTCGGTGCACAGCAAGATGGATCTGCTTTGCCAAAATTATCAATTTTGGCTGGTTTGGGGTTGCAAATCCCTCTAGTATTTTAATGCAGGGATAATGAAATGTTGCTATCCTTATTGTATGAGTAAAAGACAGCAGAACTGTGCTTATCATGCCCTGGTTGAGGGGGCTCACCCCTAAGTGAATCTCATTTGCTAAGCAGGAGGTAGGGATGCCAAATCCCAGTGATGAGGAGGTGGGTAGGGATGGTGTTTCTACATGGGGGTGTGGACTCTGACAAAAGAATCCTAGACACCATTGGATCTATTCCTCTACAGCATTTAAAGGCAGAACTGATTAGGCTCAATTGATGACCCTTGTTTCTGGTTGGTGATTCCTGGAGCTGACATCACTACTAGGTGGGTCCAAGGGCTAAGCCTTAGACATTGTGTGGGGACGGTGTTGCAGCACAAGACAACACAGAAACTACACTGCTAGCGAGGTTCCCCTCTACCTGCTGAAATCACTAAGAGCTGGGTTAAGTGGCGGAATCTTGGAACGGGGTGTCACAGAGAGATGGTGGTTAGCAGCAGCAGCAAAGAATGGTGGCCAATGGCGGCAGAAAGACAGTGGCAGC